TTCACCAAACACTTTACGCTCTCGGGGTAACAAGAGCTCAAATTGGACTCCAATTGTATCACAGCCAAAACTCGAATGCCCTTTAAACTCTTGTTCGGATTAATCCCTACCCCATCTTTACTGATTAATTATCACCCCGAAATAGCGGTCATCCTCTAATCGTTGATTCGTTTCTGTTTCACCATTTAATTTTACATGTTGGCATTTTCTCAAGCTTGCAATGCAATCATCACTCTATATCAGCAGTTTTGGTTACAAGAACCTAGGAGGCTTTATAAGCCAAATAGCTTTTCAATCAAAATTAATGTTAATGAATGATCGGACTCCAGAACTCTAATTAGAATTATAAAATTCGGAAAGGGCGAGGAGAGGGATATGTTCACACGAATTCCATTTGCAATGTATTTATGTTTTCAAATAAATAAACCTCATTGGTGTAGTGCTTTTCGAAGAAGGCATCTGTGGACTTGTAATCAATATTGTGTAACCCGGGTTACCAGAATTTTTTTTTAATACATACTTATACGATGTTAGGATGTTACATTTGTGCAATGTCAAATAAGCAGAAGAATTTAATGGGATTTCAATGCATCATAGGATTAAAAAGTGTACAAGTTCCAAGGATCTCAAAGATTTCTAAAGATTTCCGAGGATTTTATTCACAAAGAGGACAGTAGACAATTTGAACACCGATTTCCTCGCTTTACTCCATGTTATATTATTTAATCATTTCATTTGACACGCGTAATAAATACTTAAATTTATAATGGTGTGTTACGGTCATCCGTGTAATATCAACCAACTACTTTTTGAAAAAGCTGCACATTTTGTTAAACAAAACACACGTTTCATTTGATTTAATACGCTACCTTTAGTATGTTCTATCTATAGTAATAAATTAGTTATACAATCAAAAATTTAAATACACAACAATTGATTTGATTGAGTTCAAAAATTGACTATAAGGGTCAATTAACGTCTCACGCAAGAAAAGCTGAAAATTCGATAGCAGTCATTCCGCCTAGAAAGAATCTCTCGCTTTTATTGGACGATCGTTTAAACGACGTGGAAAAGTTCTCGTATACTTAAACTCTATTGCATTCAAAATGTCAAGCTGTAATACGAATACACAATACCTACTTCAGTAATCCTATACTTATAACTCAAAACAATGCATTTCCCTTCCGTCCGCATTCTTTCTTTCAAATGGTACTCGTATTATCAGAAATTGCAATTTCCAGTTTTGTAATTAGAGAAAGCTCTACTGAAAAGTTCTTAGAATCAAAGCCGCAACTCGAGTTCACACACAAACTTGGAAAGTAGGTCTACACAGCAATTAATTGGTACAAGTTCGTTGAAACCACTAATTACGTTTATTATAGTCAAAGATTGATTAAATTTCCGCTCAGGGAAGACTGAAAAACTTTCATTTGAAAACTAAAAGTAATTACGAGGAGGAATATTATGAGTTCGTTCTGTTTATTTTCTTGTGACTTTTCTTATGTAAATTTCGCATATCCGTATCGATTAATAATTGTAAATTCACCTCAAACGTCTCTAGATTCCTCAAAGGGGTTGTATTTCAATATACAGTCAAGCGTTATGCGCAGTTTGACTAAAATATATCATGTCTGAAAGATGAAACGTCGTTACTACTTTTTCAAATTTAGTTACACTTGGAGATTTACAGGGAAGAAGTTAGTCTATAATCCGTTGAAATGAAACATGCTTCCTACAATAGCTTTATGTGTCTAATTCACAGAAGGTATCGTGTCAGTGGAAGTCAACACATCGGCCCCTTGGGGAACGCTCCTATTGTCTTAAATCACTTGACTGTACTTGAATAATCCTTCAGTACAATGCTTCTAACTTCCGGCTTGAAGTTAATTCATAAAATTTACTTTGTTTGTAGTGAAAATTGATTTATTTTTAATTACCCTATAGTGAATGAAGAAATGCAAACGTTTCAAAGTCGGCCAAGTACGCATCACAACGAGATGAGGTCGCCATTTTCCAGAAAGTCATTCTTAAATTTTTCTAAATTTTAAAATTACAGTGCAGCGATGAACAGAAAATTGTTAATGATGGACAGGTTGCAAATGTTTCCATTTAGATCAGTTATTAAGTTTTAAATTTTCGTACATATATACAAGTATCAATAAATTGTGCAGATAAAGCGTATTTTTCAAACCGAAATGGCTCAGTAAATCGTTGGGTTATAAGGAAGTAGCATGTATCGATGTTTAATTTTTTGGTTCATAATTAATGGGGAGGGGGCTCTTATTTACACACAAACATTTAAAGGCCGCCGGGCATACATTCAACATTTACGCTATATAAAGAAATTCTCCGAAGTATTACATTTTCCCTTTTTAGACACCCCTGTGTATCAATTCACTGACGTAAATAATTCTAATTACACGTAATTAGACACTACATCATGTCCACCCACGTTGTCTACGATATCGGCTTTCTGAACCTGACCTAAGGTTCCTTATGGTAACTTAATATTTGTACTCGTACAATTAATAATTCAATTAAAATATTTGAACTACTACATTTCCTGACCTCTGGCCAGCCGGCTTGAGCTCGCGAAAGGTAAAACCACATCTTACAAATGCCATCCCCTCCTCGGAACTGGATAGGAAATAGACCTCGGTTCTTGAACAGTAAACCATGGCAGCTTTTTGAACTGTCCCGCTAGTTTTAGCGCCGGTTAATGAGTTGAAATATCTCGTTTTCATACAACCTTTCTATTTGGCTGCGGTTTCACATACTTCCATACCGTTAAAATGTCGGTCACATATTCGGTGGATGGTTCTTGGGAGCGTTGTAATGCGAGAAGTAGGTCGTCACGATCGATGTTCATCTATTCTTTGTAGGTTCGAGAGCACCATCAAATTTCACGCCCCATTGTCTCACTTTGTCGTAGATCTCCGCTGCGGATACCATTCCAATACTTGGGTGTTTCTCTCAGGAATCTTCTGTTGATGACCTGATAGGGATTTTCTCCTCCATCCCCTCGATGGACATTGAAAGCAAACATCACGAGGTTGCAGCAGCTGCTTTTCGATGCCCTCTCTGTCTAATTTCAATCTTCAAGTTCTACTTTCTGCAGCTGGTACACCCATCCTACTCGGACTTAAGTGGCACTAGACTGTAATTTTGCACTCATGACACCTGCGTGGAGCACGAACAACTCTATAACTAAAACAAATTCTTTCAGATGCTAAAAATAAAACCGGTTGTCCGGTTCTAACAAAACAAAGAATTTCCATTTGAGGCTCGGGCGCCATTTGTTAGATGTGACGTCATGTAGTTGTATGCTCGACTGGTTTCCACACAGAGTCTGTCGTAGTTTTTCGAACGGATCATCAGCATAATTAATGACGATTCCATCCCCCAGTGATTGACATTTCGTTTATCACAAGAAAGAATAATCGGATTATACTTCCTTGGGGTATTTCTATCTGGGTAGAGGTAAAATTTGATTCATATCTGAACTTCTGATTAATTGTAAAAATCTTCTGAAGACCATTCTGGAAATACGACTTAATCCAGTTGTAAGCGACACCTCGGTTTCTGCATTTAAACAATTTAATTAATAAAATATCCCTGTCCACCAGATCGATCCAGGAATAGACCATTTCGCGATTCTCAAAAGATTGTTGCACCGTATTGACAAATTGATAAACAGCTGTTGTTATGGATTTCCCTCTAAGGTACCCAAGTTGTGATTCGGAGAACGACTTGCACTCGTGGAAAAAGGTGGTTATTCTGTTGCACATCGCACCCTTAAAGATCTCACTTACAAGATATGTACAATAGGCTATCGATTCAAAGAGTTGGAGGACCCTGACTGATATATCTAGTGATGAAGGTCTAAGGTTGTCTTGCTCCAAGTATAGATGAACGTTTAGGAAGGGAGTGTTCTCGGGGCGTGGAAAAACTTTTTTGTGGAAAATTATTAATTTTCTTGATTGAAGTAACTAAAAAAACGTTGGGATCTAAACGTGAACTGGCGAGAGACATTGAAAGAACCGAGAACAGTGTAACTAAGAAGAGATCTTCAGAGAAACGCTTAAGAAGAATGCATCAACGCTTGATGAGATTTGGGAAATTTGGCTACTTTAAAAATTTGTTAGAAACTTGAGAACAACCTGAAAGCAAATTGAGAGGAACCCAACAAGTAAGCAAACTTGAAGGGAACGTACTTCTGTCGTTCTAATCTCGAACGAACGAAAAGAGACAGAGGAAGCAGAAATACATTAATGTATAGTGGTAGCAGAAAATTGAACTTTGTCCAGAGGGCTAATTTATTGTAATATGCAATGAAGCTGAGAAAGATAGCGATGAAGAAAAAGAAGAAAGGCAGGAAGACCTAGAAATTTAACAAAAAACTGAAACGCAAACTCATAGGAACAGGTCGTAGAATCGTTGCATTCGCGCAGTAGGTTAAAGAGACCTTCAACATGGATTCGCTAATTTGAGTATTTGCACATAAAAGAAAGTGAAATCCGTCTTCGGCGAATCTCTGTTAGCTCCGAGTATTAAGGTAGCTCAATTTTGCCGTTCTCCTTTTAGACATCTCATGATTGCTTACTGTCCGATTTTTACAGGAATTTGCTGGAATAAATGTTCACTTTCAACCGGCAGTTACTGAATTTACTTTGAGGTTGAACAAAATGTATTTTTCCACCTCTCAATTAACAACCGCTTTATTGACTTTACTAACAATGGAATAAAACGATATAGACAGTAGGTGAATTATTTCCTGCCGTGTTTGTATGTGAAGGTTTTTAAAATCAGCTCATGGTCGCATTAGAACAGTTACTGTCAATAAAGCTGCCGCGCTTTACGACTAATTTCACCGTAATGATCGCAAATATAGTGTGCGGTACTGACATTGTCTTAAAAACATAAAATCTATACACGTACATAATCAAAATTGTGGTCATTAAAACTTTTGCGTTACGAGTTTAATTAAGAGAGACTTACCGATAACAGTAGCTAATATCAATAAACCCAAAACGACTGCTGTTCCAATCATAGTAACTAAATGCCAGGCAACTTCTTGAGTGTAATTAGTTTCGTTAGAGAAACTACCATTTCCATACGAGGTCGTTGAATTATACGATAACGATGTAATATTTACGTCTGAATCATTTAATCGATTAAATATACTGTTCGAATCCGTATCGAAAATAATTTTGTGCCACACGTCGTTACTGTCGTCGTCATTCTCGTGCGTGTTAAAAAAAACGGTCGCAGGCGATCGAGTTGTGTAGACTTCCATCATCGTGACCTTTTTGTGGAACTTTTTTGATTGAATGCTGGGCGCCGTTACGATGGTCCGCAGGTTATCGTTTAATGAGATCGCCGCTAACGGCTTCCACATGTGATGAGTGTTGATGTAATCCATTTCTTCTCGATTGGTTATCTTTCGTGTATTAGAAAATTATTTGGTTCCATGAGTAACGAGCTTATGATGAATCTGAAACAAATTGCGAGCTTTAATTAAGCGTAAACGCACTGAATTTACGTGCGTAGGTAAGAAGTTCGTTTGAGAACAGCCTACGGATTCTGTGAACTGTAACGATCCAATAAAGTATGCTTTTAATTTGGAATCAATGTAATCGTATTAATACTTTCGTTTTTCAACGCTGTTATAGGAAATCGCGTAACTTAACCAACTAATGAAGAAGCTTTCGTTCTAAACCCCTGTTTGATTTAGTTAGTTTGATTTCACATGCAATTTGAGTAAATGAGAGTTTTCGTTGAGACAGTAATGTAAGAAGGTTTTAAATTGCACCTACATGAATTGATGTGTAAAACATTGTATACTAATTTTTATGATACCTGAATCACAATCTCCGTTTTAAACACTCAAATGCGTGCGAAAAAGGGCCTTTAAAACACACGTGCTTTAAAGTTGCTAAGTAACGATACTTCAAGTATGACTTTTGAAACTGTCATCTGGATGAAATAAAAAATCCTCTTAGGTCGCTTTCTGTAAATGCAGAACATTTCTTTGGCTTTTGGACCTATCCTTTGGTTGAAGCTGTCACAAACGCGCGTAATTTAGGGTATGCTTCCAAATCTGTTCCACTTTTTAATCGCAGCATTGCTTTAAAGTTTTGAATGAATGCACCAAAATATAGAAGATTTAAATACCTTTGACATTTCCTTAATATATGCCAGCATTATCGATGCATTTAAGACTTTATTCGTAAGTAACTTCTTATTCATCCATGGAAACAACTTTTCATATGCTTGATAATAGGCTTTACTGGAGTTGGATTTTTCACCTACCAACGTTTGTTTAGATTTTACAACAATCGATTTAATGGACGGTGTATTATCTTTTTCAACGGAAATTGTTTAATTCACAAAGACGATGATTTTTATAAGCAAACGTCAAGTGACATTTCCATTTCAATCGTGAGATTACGAACACCCAGTCCACTTAATTAGACATGTATATTTGAGTATAACGTCAATATGACTTCATTGTATTTCCTATTTTTAAATTATACTGCAGGTATAATAAAAAATACTATAAGATACACGTGTATAATTGGTCTTTAGAGCACTTGCAACGTTAAAGGCACTCCGCTTTGCGTCGTGCCCTTAAACTCGTTGCGCGTGCTTTAAAGACTTGATTATACACTTGTATCTTAATATACTATAATATTGACCAAGTTGTGTAGATATAGGAGATATTAATTGAAAAAGACAATAGGTAGGCGCTGAGTCAACTTTATAATATGGTCCTAATGAAACACATCAAAGAAATCATTATTTTGAGTAAGAGTGAGGCTACCAAATATTCGCAAATCAGAAACCAGACAAATGCTTTGATGATAAGTAAAATGTTCTCATTGTAAAAAACACGGTTTGATTACGCTTATCCTCCCAGTAACCGCCCTAACCGGCACTTTATCTTTGTTGATTTGGATGTAGGTATACAACCCATGTCTTCCAGTGAGGACAGTTCTTGGTCCTATTTTACAAGAAACAAAACGCGAGAAGAGTACCATGAAGCAAGGCCAAGGGCTAGGATTTTTCAGTTTTATGCGACCCAGTTGGCTTACACGTCTTACTTTAAATGCCATGTACTAATTTTAATTTTTTAAATATACACAAAATGTTGACTTGGTATAAGAGACGATAAATTTCATAAAACGGTTTTTGAATTATTTGAAATTTTTGGAAATTCGCTTTTATAAAATGAAAGAGACAAGCCCTTTATTTTCAGTTTTTCCTTAAATAACGCACAGACCCTAAATAAGTCATGTAAAAATTATACAAATATGTTATAACGTTCAGAAATGCATATGTATCAAGTTTTCGATTCCTTTTTTTTCTGTTCATAAATAGATTTTGCAGGGAAAGATAAGGTCTAAAACGACTGGCTGGTTGTGGTTAAATAGCTGATCCACAACGAAACACAGCATAAAACAAAACACATTCAAATTTATTATTTCCCCGTGGTCAAAACCCTTGGATTTGTGGAATATCGTATAAAAAAGGTTGCTAATTTTTTCACATTATTTAATATTCACACAGCAGTTTCTACATTTTTTTTTCGAATTTTATTTATAGGCATCGCGCAAATTTACATATGTCGTGCCGCTTCATAGGGAAACTAATCGCGAGTAGGTTCAGCGATAAACGTGCGTTTCAAGGAAAGCGTGGGTCGTTGTGGCGATAACCGGGGACTCGACCATTTCGTTAGTTCCATTGACCTAACGGAAACGGTATGGAAATAGATCTGTGCTCCCAGATTGGTTAAAATCAGGCTTAGTTGCGACTATTTCGTTGATTCCTTCTCGGCACTTGAAATACGGACGACGGGGGAAATGGGGAGAGATAGCCTCCAGCCACCAGTACCTATTCGAGGGAACTACAAAGTTTTCCGCGCAAATGTGTGAAGCGTCTGTTGGTCGGAATTGGATAAAGGCCATAATTAAACTCGTGTACAATTGTTTAGGATTTTCTAAATTTACAAATTTGCCAAAAATGTTATACATGTACCGCTTCATAGAGAAAAAGAACAGAACTTATATTCGAGAAAATAAAGCACGTAAAGGTATTATATAGCATCCTTGCACGTAAGGTAAGGGCGAGTGTTTAAGCAGATAACAGCCGAAACGTTACACTGTTGCCGGTTCTAAAAAACCGTCGAGACGGAGCATGAGAGGGATAGTCTTCGCTATATTATTATTATTATTATTATATTATTCGCTATATTTATCCATATATAAAAAAAAGCCTAAGCCGGGTTCGCTGGGGGGACGTTTCGGTTTTCCGATCAGCGAATGGATTATGAAAAATTTGGTTCTTCTTCATTCTTATCCAAACCTTTGAAGGGAACTTATGCAGGTCGAGGGCACAGTTAATTCGAATCTAGACCTACGAGGCATAGTTACGTTATGTAAATGTGACATTTTTAGTTCGAGTAACAATTATTTTTCAACGGAAAGCTCGGAAGACGAGTTTGTATACTCGAGGTATACGAAGAATCTTTTGTAAGAGGCGTACATAATATCGTATTGCGAAAGTTAAAGTTTTTCAATACATTTAAAATAAAAACCGTGCCCCAAGTTCGACAAAATTATTGCTATTAACTAAAATTTGAGAAAAAATGGGAACCGAGAATATTGCGGAGAGTTACTGTATTAATACTTGAGCGAAAATTTTTTCTCAGTGCATTATTGGATCATTGTGCTTGCGTGTAAATAAATTGTTACTATGAAAGAGTTGGGGTTCAAGGTGCAAACATTTCGTTGCGCTATTTTTTTAAGTAGTTAGTTACGTTTTTTTGAAGTAGTTAGTTGAAAAACCAAATTATTAATCAACTTGTGTACCTAATTTGATTCTACAATAACATTATACGTAAAACGGCAACTGGTAAAATGTTAAGGACAATGAATTCGTGCTTTTGTTGACCGTCAAAACCCTAAGTTATAAAGCTAATTTTGGACATTTCATACTGCGGAACATTTGTAGTTTTTCCAGTAAATAAACCAAGTTAGAGCTGATAAATTGTAAGGAACCTGAAGCACGAGTTTGACCTGGATTGAAATTCATCAACCACCTTTCGAGATTGACATTTAACAGGTAATCAAATTTCTTCTTCGCGATACAGAAAGCCCGACTGTGTTGTAAAAATGGCATTCCACCATCCAATTTTTCAAATTCGCTGCTACCTTTCCAAAGGAGAAAACCAGCTGTCAATGGGAGAATATATTATAAAATCAACTTATCGATAATGTAAGTTAATTAAATGTTGTATATACTCTATCAAAATAGCAATCACCGTTTTGCGGAAATTCATCCGGAACCGTCAATATTAATTTTTAAAAGCACTTTTTTAATTAAACTAAACTTTGAACATTGAAAGTTCCATTTCTCTCTTAAATCAATTATCTTGAATCTTGGCTTTAACACTAGAAGATAGATCCAAGAAGTATATTATTTAATTAATTTGAGAAAATGAGCATCTTGCAGGTAGGTAAAACCTTTGGTAAAACGATTCAGTGCTTATGAGGTGTTTAATTTAAATACGAGTAGCTTTCTGTTGTTCCCTGTAATTTAAGTTAAATTAATTTGTAAGTTTTAGCCAATAGTATTAAAAAATAAATCATATTAAATCATTGCTTGGTCGTAATTATTTACAACCAACAAGTATATAATTAGTTTCTTTTAAAGATCATGTTATACAAAGAAATACGTAGCGACTTACTTAATCCGATATCGTCAAAGTCTCTCTCAACAGACTATAGTCGAAAATTGTGGTGAAAACGGAAACGCTCGTGTCACATGTTATCTTAAAAATGTCAAAACTTCAAAACCCTTGTTATCAATTAAATTATTTACCGTCATGTTACTTTCCCCATTAATATTTAAGATCCAACCGGCGTAGGAAACGACTCTAGGACCTTTAAGGAAAAAGTAAAATCAGTTTCCACTTGAACTTTGTCCTCTCTCATATTTAGCTTTGAAATGGACCAGCTGCTAAAAAAAGCAGAAACTTTTGTCAGCAGTACTCATTGTAAGTCAAGCACTCAGAGAGAACTTAAAAAAGACTTATCCGCAAGAGAATGATGTGGTGACTCAAGTGTAAAGTTCAATGATTTACTGTAAAACCTGAAATTTGCCATACCTACCGCTTTTTAATTTTCCACCAACAGTAGATTATGTTTACATTTTACAAGCACGTAAAAGATACATAAAACTAATCTCGCGAGAAATAGATCATAAAAGTGGGTCGGTTTTACGTCCATTCAAATGAATTAAAGATTTATGCAATGAGTATAATGCAGTGCAAACCGACGTCAAAAAGGACAAAATGTCAAGCAAATTCCTCCATGAAGTTGAATTAGTTTTTCGGAAAGCTCCTCGCATAAACTACAGCTTTATTGTGACATTCCCAAATCCGCATGGGGTTCAATATGAGATTCAATTACTTAGGTATACCCCGCGGAAAGTAGTTTGGCGATTGTTTTAATTAAAAAAAAGGAAAAGGTTTGACACATAAACTTTATAAGTAGCACGATGTCATTCCGTTAGGTCATAAGTCCTAATTAGATGTATCTGGAACAACAAACATTTGCATAAACCCACTAAATTATTTCAAGGGTTTCCTTGTAGAGGTAGGAAGTACAACAGAATTCGGAATCAAGTTGGTTTATTAGAAACAAAAACATACGACCCCTCAATCTACATTCATAAGAAATTAATCCCTTGAACGCGCGAAGTCTCTAGGTGCCTCGTTTTTTCGTATTATCGTCTGAGAGATGTGTGCATCGTGTGTGCAAAATTGGCTTAAATTTGTGTTTTACGGTCTCGATGAAATAAGGGATCACAAAAAACGCAAGAAATTGACTCAACTGCCTGTATCTTACGTTACCCATTTTTATGTCTATAGAAACCTTTTTAGGCGAGGATAATTTAATTTTACAGAATTCACAAGAGTATATCATCCCGCTTCGAACGCCGCGACGATGACGCGAAAGTACATGAAAAATAAAGCGAAAATGTTTTTGTATTTGCTTATTTTGGTAGCTGCCTTCTCGACGGCTTTATGCGATTAAGCGTCTATAGAATGATTATTGGCATCGCTTGAAACGCCAGAGCTCAAGTTTGACAATTATGAGCTTTAGAAACTGCTCTGAGAAAGCCAAACTAGTTAATTTAGGATTGGCAATACTTGCTGCGTTTCCAAGATACGTGACGTCGAAAAATATATGGCATATACGACAAATCTCTGTTGAATCGGATCCAAACCCATATATGTACATGCTTTTACCACTGAAAGGGAGAATTGATCAGATAGAAATCTCGAATGCCGACTTCTCCACTAGCACTTACAGGTCTCCGAACTATCCTCAAGACTTTGAAGTACAGAAGCTTCGCAATGCACAATTGAACCCCGAAAACGATGAACCTTTGACATATTTGACATTTTGTAGAAAACTGTCTACTTTTTTACACAACCGTCTATAATTACAAGCCGTGCTGAGAATTATGGCAACACTGCATGGTAGGCCGATTTCCTAATTCAACTTGACAGATTTCAGGTGTATTTTATATGTGTTTTGGGTGTAATATTCCTATTTACTTGTTTTAACAGAGCGAGATTGCGTAAATTTGTGTTACTCCGTATGGAATCAACAGAAATTATTATTCAGGTAAGTTGCTAAACGAAATATATCGATTTGTTGTCATAACCTCTAAAGCAGACTACTCCTTACTGGACCCTTTACAAGCACTTGTATTTGTTCAAAGTACCTGTACAAGCTCAAATACGACCTACACACTACATGGTACGTAAGTACGGTAAGTGTTTATCGTGAAAAACACAATTAGTTTGTATTTGAGGTATTCTAGCACGGACATGTAAAGTCGATTTTCTGAAGGAACCGTCCCAGGAGTTCACGGTACGGGAATTTGAAGTCTACGGTGCTCCCCTCTTTAAAAGCTACGTACCTAGACCCACTGGAGTAGCGACTGGCTTAAAGTTTGCCATTCCGAATCACACCTGGTCGTTGATAAAACCTCGCTGATGCAGAGCGATTTACTGTCCTTTTGCCGAAATTAAGTGCTCAAGCGTGTGCTTTACCTCGACCTCTTTCGACAGAAGTTCACCAATTTCGTAGATCTCGATGGAAAACACATTATAATGCATTTACCAATTTACAGCGTTCCGAATTTTAAAGTCAAATAAAAATGTTATTATCATTTTTGTAAATAAATAAAATATATGTACAATTGTAAGCTGCCTAAGTATCTTTCTTCTGTATTAAAACCACCAAGGCGAAACACAGGAGAGGAAAAATGCCATTTTTCAAGAGAAACAAGACGCCATTAAAACTTGAATCGGCCCACCGATTGACTTTCGAACAATGTTGCCAAACTTCTCAGCATGGCTTGTAATTATAGACGGCTGTGCTTTTTTATACCCAAATAACCTTCCCTTCAAATTCTGCATTCAAAATGAAGCAGATTCAGCTTCTCCAATTGTTAGGAAAAAATTAGAGTGAGAACAACCATTTCAACACTTGAGGGCGATCGGACTCGGGTAGATTAAAACAATACCCCTTGGTGTAATAACCATAAACATTATTCCATCTCTCGTTATAAATGAAATTAAAGGTGATGACCTATTAATGTAGCGAATACAAAATAGGTGTAGGTGGTTAATTAATACACAGCAAATTTAATTAAAACCAAACAATGGCAAAAACTAAATAATGTGTTTTTTGGTTTCACTTGGACCGAAGTTGAAAGAGAGTATCCGTTAGATTGAAATCAGAGCTGGATCTAGTACTATGAAGAGCTGTAATAAACTTCGTATTTCTTTTACTTTCATTAGAAAGGAATCGCGCTTCCCGAGTTCTTTTAGTAATTTCAAGCATGCTTTGTGAAATAGTCTGTGGAGAAAGAAAACTTTCATGTTAAATCCTTATCGCAAACTTCATTCTTTAATATTTCTTTATGAAACTTAAAGCTTAAACATGCACTTTCCATCCGTAACTTGAACCTTGAATCTTTCTTAAAACCATTTTCTCTGAATGGGAGATTGAACCTGAAGTTCTTGAAAATTATTATACATCAAGTCAACAAAATTTAAACCCTTCACTTTCCATCCTGAATACTGAATGTTTCATACTGAAGTGACGGGCCCTATTGCGGAAGTAGTGTGGGACTCGCATCCTCACTACTCGTGCCCATCCCCAATTTTCTCCCAAAATCCCGCTTCTCGGTGTACTGTCTAGGACACTTCCCGGCATCGTCCACATGGATTTGGCAACTCCCACCAGATCTATTCTTTTTGAAGACCTTGCTTCTCCTATATTTGGAATGGTCTTCGTCGAAATCACCATGTTCTTCACTTCCTAATCCGCCATCTTGGTGTGTACAATAAATGCCGGGCTTCGGCCGATTTACACTACCAGAACTTTGAGGCCCTTCTGTGGTTTGACCTCGGGCTTGACTATCTAGCCAACGAGCTTATAAGGCAAAATAGGGGTATCTTTTAGTGGATACAGGAGTGGAAAAGTTTCATAATTGTAGAGGACCGCAAACATCATGAGAAAGCAAAAAATTTTTTGCTATAACTATCTTTGTAAGCGGCACAAAAAAAATCCTTTCCAGGTGCAAGCCTCCACTGTATAACGAACCAAATAGCGAAAAAGTAGAACACTATATCTCTTAAAAGTCTAGTAGCGATCCAGCCCCAGGGACGTACAGGCGGCGGACAAAGTGACCACCATAGCGCATTTGTTTTATTCTTGTGGCAATACGCAAAAAATGTAGCGGACATGTAGGCCATTTTAGTAAATACAAGATAGGAAATTTTATTAATTTTCGACGATTTTTTTAAATAACGATTTTAAGGCAAACGCAGAGATAGCTTTAGTGTGTAGAGAAAGGGATGGTTAATTATTTTTTGAGCATTTTATTTTAAAGAATTTTTTGAAAATGTAGGGATCACTTTAGCAGGTACAGGAGCGGAAGTTTTAATAGTTTCTCAGCACTAAAAATTTAAAGGAATGGAAGAAAGAGCTAGTAGATACAGGAACGGAGGTTTCATGAGATTCTAGGACCTTAGAATAAAGGGTTTATGGGAAGAGTAGGCATAGTTTTACTGGATACAGAATTTAAAGTTTCATTACTTCTGAGGACTTTGTTAATAGTCCAGTCAAATTACGATTTGGGCTGGATGTTGTCATAATAAGGAACGTTGTTTATGCAACGTGTAGTGGAAATTAAGGGATGTCGGATTTATGTTCAAACGCAAATCCAGTGCGAATTTGAAAAACAAGTTTGTCAATCCAAAACTGTGCACTTCTTTTGTGTATTTTAGGTGTTATTATATTTACATTAAAGGGCTACCGGTAAAAAAGTTTAAAGACTATTAATTCATGCTATTGCTAGATGTTAAACCCTAAGTTATAAGAGTATTTTTTTACATTTCCCTACTGCAGAACATTAGTCAATTAATTCAATGAATAAACATATGTTGAACTATTAAGGTTCGAGAAACCTGAAGCTCAGTTTGTTCTTTATTAAAATTGTCGTGCCTTGTGAGATCAATCAAGTTTACCAGCCCCTACAATGGGTCCGATTATATTGCACCAAACGATCCACCATCCAAGTTTGTGTGTTTGCTGTCAATAATCCATATCTACTTTGATGGAGGTCTTGTGGTCGTCAAAATCAATGATTTTTTTCCAGTTTTAGAGATCGTCGACTCGTCTGTACTGTATTGCCCATAAATAAGTGTATTAGCTTGACCTTGATATCTCATTAAATAGAAGACTAGGAAGTGTTTCCAGTTATGTTCGTATAATAGTAATGCTTTTAACCTTTTTAACTGTGAGGATATTGTAAAGTAAAACCTATTTAATGGTCTATACTTTTAAGTAATTCATGAGGTTTCTCACACATTCTCCACTTTTATATTTTTTCATTTTTCGTATTTATACTAAAAGGTGGGTACGGCATCACTATGGACAAACAAATTGCCCACTTATTTTTTTTCAGCACGTAATAAACGAGCACCATCCGCTTTAAGAATTTGCAAAGAAGAGATACTGACCCGCATT